AAGGAACAAGTTAGCTGTATAGCTAGTTTATAAAGGCCTCCCTTCTTCTACTTGGAAGAGAGGGATATAAATAACACGATGCTTTATACAGCCTGGTTTAAAATCAGGTTAAACATCAAATTCATCTTATTTATGTCTCATCTAAATCTAATAATGCTACACCTGGTCGTCTGAAGCGTTTTTTAAGTCAGTTTTGTAGTTCCTTTTTATATAGTCTTTATTATTTACTTTTCTTTCTAAAATCAACAACCGATGTAAAGAGGCTGGAAACAAGTAGAATGTGTGTACTCAGTAAGACAAAATAAATTATTGTAAATGATTTATTGTGTATTAAAGAATTTCAAGAATATTTAGGTCAGCCACTAACCGATGTAAAAGCAAATCCTGAAATTCGCATTTTATTAATTTGGACACACGGAATACTGCTACTCGCATACTGAACTTAAAAACGGGACAACAAAATTTCTAGTTATAGAAAGCGGATTTATTCCATCTTGTCGGTTTTCTTCAACAGCATACAACCTGTAATATTTAATACACTGAATTATGTTAAAGTTGTAACATAATGTACTTCATTTAATACGGATCAATCATTTAGATTGCGTGAAATATTTAGGTATAATAGTATATTCAAAATCTCAGAGTTTACTAGATTTCTATTCACAGTTGATGTTTATTCGAAACAAACATTATATCTTAAATCATCAAAGATACCCATGTGACATAAGTCAAAATGATATAGGTCAAGAAAGAATATTCTTTGAGTAACTTTACTTCATTTTATCCTACAGATAAATTCAGAATGGCCACTTGTTATGGTTTGAATAAAGAACTGTGTGGAACAACACATTATTAAAATTAGTTTTAATATTTACAGCTATCGTCTTGCTTGTAAACAATAATATGAGTTTTTTCTCAAACACTGATTTTATCTAACTAGAAACGCATGTATTTTTATTTCTTATTTGAGATCAGTGTAACAGTGTTATTCCAACAAATGACTTGCTTTCAATAAACTAAAAACAGAAAGATAGAAAACAGTTATATTTGACCACTTCTTAATCATTAACAATTTATTGGGAAGACATGCCTTTCTAAGTGATACTTTAAATGCCACGCTGCTTTTGTCAGTAATAATTGTTTTCGTTGTTGTTTAGATTTCTCATACGGAGAGTTTAATGTAACATTCATTTCTAGTCAATTTGTTTTCATGTCTTAAACTTAGGTTACAATAGGCTTAATAAATTTGCATAATTATTTTCTTAAATAATAACATTTTCCTGTACATTAAATAACAAATATTATAAAGATATTTTTTAAATTATTAAATGCTATCAAAGTTCATAGATTTCAATTCTAGTTATAATCACTAGCTTGAAGTAAAGATGTTATGAATCTCATTAGCGAAATATGTTAACAAAGTCTTCAATGGAGTTCTTATTTTCCTCAATTTACCTATTTACGATCAATTTAGTTGTGTTTTTTTAAACTGTTTTACACCAAGTAGAGTATAAATAGCTATTGACACGAGCAATATTCTGAAATTCACTGCATTCAGTTGTCCACCTGACTTCACAGTTTCAGCCTATATATCCCATATTTATATAATTTTAAAAACTTACAAGTTACGTACGAATGACATCAGTCACGAACTCACTTATAAATATAGAGAGAAAAGCAAGTTGTATAGTTTACTCAGAAATATTCTCTCTGACACATTCATGGAAAACTTATAAGTAAATGATATGGAAATTATAACTCATGATGCCATTATTTATGTGAGTTATATGCATAATGCATTCGAAATTTGCATAGATACAAAATGAATCTTCTTAAATGACTCCATTTAAGGAAAAAGAAAACTATGCATGAAAAAACCAACTTTACAATGAAATACGATGAGGGTAACCGGTTCACTTTTGGGACCTATCTTTGAGAAAAGCAAATCTGAAGGTCTAAAAAGTATGGCCAAGTATTTAATCAATTTTAGTTTGCATTCTATAAGTTACCAAATAAGCCTGGTTATATTACTGCTTCATCGAGCAACAGGCTTCTGTTTACTTGTTCGTCTTTATGATGTGAACTTAAGAAGCATTTTTTTGGAAATCGACATTTTCCAAGTGACTGTCAGTAAATAGGAAAGAAGGTTTGACGATACAAGAATGTTTTAACAGTCAAAAAATTCTATTTTCATTAAGTTTGTTTCCATAGGAAATGATGCGCACAAAAACAGAATAGGAGACAGAGAGTTACATTTCACATCTCACGTTCTTTCCTTGCATTATCTTTGGCCGCCACCTTTCTTATTCAGAAGTGAATAGGTATCCACCTGAAATAGTTTTCACATGCATTAATGAATTCACATGTACTTTCCAAAACAAATGCCTCCAAAACCTTATACCACAGATTTTACAAATATTCTGGAACAATTTGAGCTCTGACTCTCGACTGAATCCCTATGGAGGTTTTTGTCGAGCCTTTGTATAAACTGACCATATAATTTGATTTTCAATTAAATCTAAGTACTTCAACTGATGAGCCTGTGACTTAGATGGCTATGCTCTTAGAAATACCTAGTCTTGCTTTTATAAACACCTTAAGATTCTTTCAGATAGTTTTCCACCCTTACAGTCGTTGATAAGTAGAGAAATTCAGATCTGATTTAACAAAATTCATTACAATCAAGTAGTTTCAATCCAGTTTCTGCATTCAAAAAATACACTGGTTAGATGTGGCAAATCTCTTCTACCTCGAGTTATTGCATATATATATATATATATATATATATATATATATCACTCTGAACAAATTTACGTCAAAAGTTTATGGCACAGATAATTCAACCTTTTAGAATGTAATTGATTTCAGTCAGTGACTAATCAGTATGTACTGTTAGAACAGTTTTACTGTGTTGTAGTGGAAGTTTTTGTCCTAATAATACATTCTTGGAACGACTATGTTCGTCATTACTTTACTGTATTGCTACGAAATAAAGATTGTTTCTTAGTGGAGAAATTTAACTGAATTGCATTAAGAGTCACTTGAGATATTTGTTTCTTTCGGCAGTCAAATTAAACGCAACACCGATATCCATTTTCACAACTTCAGACAGATATCCATATAAACACAGAGAATTAATGCATTTCAAAGCATAGAGCATACATTGTTTTTGTCCTTCTCATTGTCAACGAGGAAACATTTCATGCATTTTGGTAAGACGAAATAAGTTTACACAGAAGTATTAAGACTGTTTCCAGTTTTTTTCTCTTTAATACAGTGTTACAGTGTCTGACACATGGTTAAATTTGCTGGTAGCAAATTACTGAGCAGTTACAGTATTTATTCCCAGTTATTTGTTGCGGATAAGTGACATTTCTACATTACTGTGCAATTCACATAACCACCAGTATGCTGCTGAACTTTCCTTGATGATGATAACAATATAGAAAATCAAAACACGTGATTCAGCGAAGAGACTCTTTTCAACGAATTTATTATCAAGCTGTACATCAAGTTTCACACAATGTTGCGTAACGTTCTTATTTTATTCGATTTGATTCCTAATCATATAGTTGCACACCCCTTTCAAGTTCTATACATCCTATGAATTATTTTATATATGACATTAATTGTTTTGCCACTTGACATTTAACTATGACTATAGTGATAAAAATTTCAATTGCATTTCATACTATTATTATTTTATGCATTCACACCTATAATTCAATTCCCTTACCGGATATAATTTCTTAAAAACTACATATATACGACTGTACAGCTTGAAAATAAATTCTTTGAAAAGTGTCTTTTCGTTGTTTCAGTTGTTTTGAATTTCTATACGTCACAATGGGAACTTTTCATGAATAATAATAATAATAGACAAAATTCAATTTTTCCAACATGTAATCACAATGAAATACTGAAATAGAAAAAATGAATTAATGCTTATTGTGTGTATGATTTTTCTGAATATATGCACCATGGAAAACACCTTTTTCTATCAACATTATCTGCATTATTTCCAAAAGAATATAATTTGATGTTGGCTCAAAAAAATAGCCAGAATTACAGGTTTGTCGATGCATTCACTGCGACAGCAACAAGTTCTATTCATATGAAATGTGTATTTGTAATCTTCTATCACCGTATTATTACTCTACCCTAAATTTGTGTAGTGTTCCTTTGGTAGCTGACACACTTATGTTTACTGAAGTAATTTCGTGGGTCTGAAAGGAAAGTAGTGAGTTAGAAATACTGCCTCATATATATATATATATATATAAAACCATTCTTAAAAATTACCAGTGGAGTCAAATAGTATGTTGTAAGGCATTCTTTAGATTACTAAATGACACCCTACTGGTCACGACGTCCCACTAGAACCCCAAGTGACTACCTACCTGAATACGGCCAGTCACTAGTGAGCATTTCATTGATATTCAAGTATTAGTCTGTAGGGATTGGATTGATTTATTACTTATCGGGTACATCAGGTCGGCTGTGAGGACAAATACTCATCGAAGGCATTGCCTAGCGGTCACGTTATTCCTGAATTTGCAGAAGTCGGAATTCATGGGCCATTGGATCGGGTCCCGGTGGCTTAATGGTCTACGAGCTGGCGTTGTAACCCGGGTTCGAACCCCGATTGGTGCGTACTGCCGAAGAGTGCCAGACTAGGAAGTAACAGCTGTTCAGTACTCCCAGGTTTTCCAATGGTTCTCTAAGCGATATCAGCTCATGATAAAATCCTGTAACAAATTAATGTAACATTCCAGTATATTAAAAGCTGTCTTCTAAAAGACCGCTTGCCAGTCTCTTTTAATACTGATTATGGGTTTAATTTAGTCTTCTTTAGAATAAAATCTTTCATTCATTCACAATCATAGACTGAAAGCTTCTATCCTAGTTCGTTTGCAATCATTCTATCTAAATGAGAGTTTTTTGTAAATGTAACTTCTCTTTTCATGCAGTAACTTTTTCATCTTCAACTTTCTTGCTAGGTTTCTGCCCCACTAATTCCTAATTGTAAGGGTCCTGGTGATGCAACAAACTTCGAACGATACAAGGAAGAACCATTGAAGAAGAGTAGAATTTGCAAATTTGAAGCCGAATTTGCTGAATTCTAGATGTCACGCATCTTCCACATAGATGTTGCTGTTTCACTTGCTGTCAAATTATTTTTCACTTTTTCAAATGAAAGCAAAACATTTGAAAATATCTTCATGTTTTCAATTCATTTTCTTCTTCTTCTTCTTCTTGAATTTGCTAGCTTTCTCCTATATGTGGTCCATTTCTTCTTATTAACTTCAATATTTTGTCTATCTTCATTTCTCTCCCCCTTAATGACCACTGCACAGTTCGCTTTTAAAAGGCAATTTTGAGCTATAGTTTCTCTGTTCAAACTGTAAAAGGTGGACGTATCACCGCCAAAATCAAAGTAAGCTTTCTCTATCCATCTTTATTCTGAATATTATATTTCCATACTTCTTAAATATCTCCTAAAACTGATATAAACATATATGTGTGTATAAACCGCTTTTTCGTTTGCATTCTCTTTATAAAAAAAAATAATCTAGTATAAACATGAAAAGCAAACAAAAGAGAGGAAGTGGATTTGGTGTATCAGTTAGCAAACTATCATATATTGTTATATTATATAACAAGATTTTCAAGTATTATTTTGTACGAATTCTTTGTAATAACAAAATCCAAGAGAAAAAACATTATTTCGTCTTGAATAAAAAAATGCATTAAAATAAAATAGTAATTTTTATTCATTTTCAGTTAAAGTTGCTTGATCTTCATAGCTTTACACAAAGTAGAAAAGTAGTTAGCATGATAAGGAGACGACGTAAACAGAATCACTTCTAGAGGAAAAAAAGCTAAGGAAAAGGGGACGTTGTGACTATGGTAATCAATTGAAGAGAAAAAGAAAACCATATACATATTTGTTTTACACACATCTCGAATTGGAAGTGGTTTTAGTAAATTATTCAGTGTAACTTGAGAGAATTTTTGCGTCCACTAACAACTGTTACCTAAAAAATGGAGTAATTTACCTCATAAAACAAATTAGTTAATAAGATTACACATCTTACATTGCATACTAATAACTTCATGATGTCTTAATCCCATGAATGAGATTGCCTGAAAGATGAAATTGTTGTTCTACATTGACAAGGTATTTCGTGCAGCATTACCACTAGTGCTGGTCATAACACATCCAAAGAGTTGAATCATTCAGATTACTCCACTTGTACAAGACACTGTGAATTAACATGAGGAAAAAAGTATTTGCAGAGTGCACACTCGAAGATGAAGTTCGCCTTTGGTATTCTAGTAATTAAAAAGGAGTTGATAATATAGTTGGTTATCACTTAGTATGATGAAAGGCATGAAATGTAATGGAAGAAAGCAGTTAATAAGTACAATGAATGTTAAAAATCTACATATATGCCATCCTGAATGCAAACATTTTAGTTTACTCAGCAGTAGTCGCTCCTGAGAATATAGAATTATTAATATTGTCTTGTTTGTCAGTTACTTTCCAGAGCATTCTTCCCAACTTGCCATCACTAAAAGCTGGACAACTGACATTTTTTGGCTTTATCATCCTTTGAAACACAATGTCAACGCGTTACTGCTTCTATCAGCGTAATATTTAAACGCCTACTGTTACTTGTGTCTTCTTATTGAAAATGCATGTTACAGACAATTGAACATGAATTTCTAACTTCTTTATCTCCTGTGTTCCAGTCCTATTTACTATTATTCGGTAGTCACCGGCTACAGCTACAAACAACTGTCACATTTTTCTGTTGCATGCGGAAGTGAACTTCACTTGGGAAGTCCCATACCAACATTTTGTGAAAAACCGAAGATTATCATGAATCCTTTGACACATAATTTTTATTAAAGAGTAGGTGGGGATGATAAGACCCCTTTTCATTTTATTATTGTATCAATGAAAGAAGCATGGAGCCTGCGGAAGATTTTCGGATTTCCACACAAGTCGATTCCCCCACCATGCAACAAACTCCGAGGACTGATCAGTTTCATGTAACTTTTTTCGGAACACGAGAGAGCTCTCAGTTTAACAAATTCAACCGTTCTACTTACCACAATATCTGTAACGGTAAATAATTCCCTCAAATTATTGGTCTACAGCATTCTTCATTCAGCATTGGATACTGACTTTCACTGTTTAAGCTGAAGGTGTGTGGTGGAGCATTTGCGTCACTTTTCACGCCATGGTGTTAAATTCGGTCGTTCGTGCATGATCCCTAGCTATTTAAGCAGCCAGCACTGATCCTGGAATGTATTTCGTATTTTAGACGATCGATTCTTTTTCTTGGGTTTCCTGTAGTCTAAGCTGAACGAGTACTTGCAGAGTTGGAGGATAAAAACGTTTAGAGACTGAAGATATTAACATTAATGGATAGTACAATTTACTCTAACTGAAGATCTAATACCCACAACTGCTATAGTATTCGTTCCGCATAGACCAAAGGCAAAGCAAAACAACAGAATTGACTGTCCAAATTATGGAGTATATTTTGGGACCAAATCGGAGTGCGAGATAATTGTTTAGCTAGCCAGGGATCGTGCACGAACAAACGAACGTAATACAAGGGCATGCCAAATGGCGTGGATGCTTGACCGGAAGCCTTCAGCTAAACAAATCAACTGGAATAATGCGGGTCAGCATCCAGTGTTCATTGATGAATACTGCGGCTAATGATTTTGGGGGATTACCTATCGCTACACACTTGTATTCTCATATGGCATATTTTGATTAGACCTCAACATTCTTTATATTCTAAAAGTTCACTATTCTATTCTCAAGTCCTAGGCACAACCTTCAGTAATTAAATTCACAATTAACTAAACGCCTCTTTAGTTGCCTATATTAATATTGCAGACGGAGAGAAGGAATAGACTGAAAATCCCATGTGCAAATTTCGGATAACAGCAGATTTTAGTAGCACAAATGAAGACATCAACAGCTAATTGGTGAATGGTGACTAGCAGTGGCTGGAACCCGGTGCCTATAGTTTCAAACGCCAAAGCGTTATCCACTAGACCACTTGGGCCATGAGAGCCACCTCTTGTGCAACGGGTCATATTAATTATTGAATTGAATTTTAGATTTTCCCGTCTATTGATTGGACCGAAGTGCTCGGTGGCAACATCATCACTCACTGGGAAATGCAGGTACATCCAGATGACGAGTCCAAAATAGAACGAAATGCGCATCCTGGATTCCACTACCATTCACCATCCACCAACTAAAGTCTACTTAAATGCCCAAACATCGCCGAAGCATCTGCACAAGAAGCCGACATGTCAAACTGAGACCGAGCATACACAACAGAAATAAAATAATAGAACAAGACTAGCAGAGATAGAGGCAACACCAAAAATAATTTTAAAAAGGTTGAAATAAAATAGCGAAGTTCATAAAACTAAGTGGGGTATTTATAATGTCAGTAAAGCCTCCTAGAGCTAGTCTGCTTCCCTCTATGGATACACGCAAACCTGCCACTATTTCGTAGTGGTCTATTCTTCTGCTCCCCGACAAATGGAGTGATGAATCGCATAGGTGGTAAAGGCTGAGGGCAAAGAATTTAACCGTGACCTTTATTGCTGCTCTCTGATGAGCGATTCTGTTATAACTTCCCTGAGGGATACCATGATGCTTTATTGTCGATATCTTTCGGATCCCGTGTACTAAGTTACTGGCTGTTTGTATGCCTAGATGAAATCTTATCCCGTTCTGGAGTAGCTGAAAGTAAACAGTATCAGCTTGTAAAACTAGCCGTCATATATAAGTCCAATGATTTTTCTAAGCGATTTCGTTTTTTGGGAGTGATTATGAAGTAACACTGTGAACTCTTGCGTGTGGCTTTACGCAAGTTTTCCAACAACTGTGTAGGTTTCTTTACGTCTGAATCATTCGAATGGTTTTATTTGTTTCTCATGAACAGGCAGTGCCTGTCTGTCAGGAGTACCCTACACAGTTTATCCTGTGGGCTTCTCACTCCTAGTTTGAAGCAAAAGGCTTCCCATTGCTGTTTATCAAATATGTCTTTACAAGCCAATACGCTGTTACTACACGTCGGAACACTTAAAACAATCACATATTGACTTCCCCTGTCATCCATGTCTCTCCTGAGTGTTGATGAGCGTCCCCAACTAAAGGTGCCTAGGCTGCTTCAGACGATGCAGTAGTATATAAGTCACCCCGACGGACGTCGATTTCTTCTGAAGGTTTAGTTAGACTGAGTTAGCAATCTACACCTGTCTCTTCCTGTAGGCACCCTCGACTGGTCACTGAAGTCTGAACGATTCTAATCTTCCTTCAAAAGAATTCTTTTTGTCTTCAGTTTGCCCATTAAAATGCTGATGTCGCCACCTGTCTTTGGTCTTGTTTATTACTGCTTATAGTTGTATGTAGAAGTCTTGCTTCTTCTCTTGATCTGCATTGTTTGTAGTGTTGTTCGTAGTACTGTAATTGTATCGTTCTCTTGTTTTGATTTGAATCTTGTCTTGTCCCTGAACAGAGTCATCTATGCTGTTGATAACATCAATATCGAAGTAGATTATCGACTGTGCAGTTGACTATTTGAGGAGTCCGTATCCACTCCATCTTCACCCTGATCCGTGATGCTTCCATGCCATCTCTTCTCATTTTTTGTGTTTTTTGATCATAGTTGTGAATCTCAAACATGTTGTGGACTTTTAATTTCCGTTTGCTTACTTTTACTTTATTGAAAGGAGGTACAATGGTAGACTTGATTCACAAAAGCTTTCACCTACTGGCACCGTTCGTCTTAAAATCAGAGTCTCCCTGATCCCAGTGAAAAACTAGCTTGCTTTGTCATTGATTCGAAATTTCAGTAGATAGTTCATGATGCATTCTAAATATGGAACAGAGTGTATCGCACGAATAAGCTGCAGAGAAAACACAGCACCAGTTGTGGCATTCGAATGTACTTATAGCAGTGCTTTCTGAACAGGTGGATCAATCACAAAAATATACCAGCCGTAGTTTCAGCAGTCGACCAACCATTATCATAAAAAGAATGAATGTAACAACCAGCATGAAAATAACCTAAGTAAGACTCCCTGGATTTCCAATAGTTCTCTAATTGATGTCAGCTCTTGATCAAATCTGCACCTAATCAAATCCCTGTAAACCAACTTTTGACAGTTAATCTGATGCTCACTAGCTACTGGCTCCATACAAGAAGTTGCTTGGTGTTCTAGTGAGAAGTCGTGACCAGAGAGTCAGGTAAGAGGAAATTGGTTCCCACTGCATTGGTGCTTTGGCTCCCACTGGTGACACTATGGTAGCCACTCACTGTCTCAGTGTGCTCATGTTTGTCATCTGTGTGACCAGACCGGAGTAGATTACTGACTCTCCAGTCGACAATGTTGGCAGTCCACATCCATTCCATCTGCTGTTCTATGCTGCATCTTCGTATTTCATTGGCTACTTGGGCAGTCTCTACAGCCAGTGTCGTACATCCCACGTCCCCATTCTTATTCTTGTTTTCATCGAGCGAAGACACATCGGCTGGCTGACTCCCATACCTAAGGCTGGCTTTCACCAGTCGACTGTGTCATTTCGCCTCTCCGATTCCAGCGAAGACTAAGATTGTTTTTGAAGTTTTTGTATTTTTGATATATGCATTGTGCATTGAAGTTTCTCCAGCAGTTTGATAGCTTTTGTGGTGTAGGTATGCTAGCCCTACGATTAACCT